AAGCGGTTGCCACAACTGTCCGAAATTTATGTAAAACTCCAAGATCAATAAAAGGAGGATTTCAGTCGAGGAGATTGAAGCGTTAAATATTTGCTGCACTCACAATAAGAATTTTTCATTCGTCCTTCTTCCTTCCTCCCCCCGTATTCTCATCTTCACATCGCTCCGATATCGGTGACTGAGGTGTTTTCGAGGGTCGAAAACGTAAATAAAAACATCAATAGAACAAAAGGGATGCAATTATTTATAAAAGACGACAGAGGAAGAGAGAGAGAGAGAGAGAGAGAAGGATCTAAGGAGGAAACGTAGAGAGTAGAGATAAAGTATCCAACGACTCGATCGTTTATCTTAACGACTTGTTCATCAACTAAAATCTTCAAAAATCTCATTTATTTTCTAGAAACATGCTAAAAAGACCCGAGAGTTACTTTTGTTAAGTAAGGATCAATGTGGCATGAATTCATCATGCAGTCAGCCTATAACAAACGAAAAAGTCGTTGAGTGCTTATTCATGTAGCATACAGATGTCGACAGAATACATTGGACAAAGATTTTAAGTAGAAAAGCATTCCGGCGATTTTTTCTTTTTTCTCTTAGGCAAAGAAGGGGATGCGGTTATTTATGAATTTCCATTCACCAGATGTCGTTCTTTACCGCTTTAGGCGTGTTGACGTCATCAAATTCGAAACCAAGTTACGTCTTTGACGTCACGATTCGAACCCCCTCCGCTATTTTTCCCAGTAAAAAGGAATTCTTTAGCATCTTGCTGGGTTAACAAAATTGCTGCAAGATAATATATATATTTTTTTTCGATATTTTATCCTATCATAAAAGCTAAATTTCAATTTAAATCAATAAAAAAAAAGGCGCTACCGATATTTTTTAATCGATATTCCTTAGGTATTTGAGAGAATTCGCTCATAAAAATTTTATAGAAATGCACTACTTCTACATATTTCAAAAGATATATATATATATTTATATTATTTAAAATCAATTCAAAAAAATTTTAATCCTGAATAAAAGCAATTTTCCATTATGTAAATGAATAGAAATAGATGGTTTCTTCTACCAGAAAATATTTTTTTTTTCCCCTTAAAATGATCCGTTTTAGGGAATTTATTACTCCTAGAAAAGGGAATTTTTGATCAAAAGCAACACAACCGATAATAACGCGAGATGGTCAACCATAAACAAAGCAATAACTGTAAAAATACTTCTTATATACAGTTACAAATGTAAAATTTCATCGTTTCAACAGCATATTTTCCTCCCTTTTTTAACATCACAATCGAAGAGGAAAAGTTAATAACCATTAAAGCTAATTAAAACCCGTCTTGAAACAGCCGATCTCTTTCATTTTTCCAGATAAAAATCCCGAAAATTGCAACCGGAAATTCGCCAACTAATGAAGCCGTTTGGCCGGAAGTACGTCATCCGAAATAGGCTAATTTTACGTCATTATAAATGTAATATTATCGTTAAAAATTTCCTTTTATTTCCAGTTAGGGATTCTAACGATAACGTATCCTCCGCATCCAACCAAAAGGAAAAACAAAAAAAAACCGATATGGAAGACGGATTTTTATCCGAAATGAGCATGTTCAGGATTTATAATTGGTAAAAAAAAAAAAAATATATAATCCTACGTCACCGAACTCTTCCGTAATCCTGAATTATGAGAGCTTCGACCGGAAATTACGTAGCAATTCCACTATAGAGCGCGTGGATAATTACATAACTGGGATATTCCTCCAAAGATTAAAAAAAAGGGAGGAAAATTAAACAAAAGGAAAAGATAATTTCTAACTTACCTTCGTGCATTTGTCACTGGAGGAGAGTTTCCACTCGCGAAGTGATTATCCAGTTCTAAAAAAGGATGGAGGAAACTGATTTAAATATATTTTTTTTAAACTTTTCTATTTATTTAAAGAGGAATTGCAGCAGTGACAGCTTCATTGTGATCTTGTGTGTTAACTAGTCTTGGCTTCTGACTTTGATTGACAACGAGTAGATAAACTACAGAAAACGGTCCGAGTGTGCTACAGGACAATAGAACAACGGAAATAGGTCTCTTGTGTTTTGCTAGTCTTCATGTTTTATGGATACGAACTCCAGTTCTATCCACTACAACTACAATAGAAGAATGGTTAAAGAAAGAAGCGGCTTAACTTTCATTTTTTTACAATCTCCAACAGCTCCCCAGTCAAATACTTTGCCTAACACATTATAAAACTTTAGTTTTGCAACTCCTCTTAATCGTTCTTTTACTTCTAAACGAATAATAAAATATATAAAGAAAAAAAATATTTATTTGATTAATGGAAGAAAGTCAAAAATTTACATTTTTTATTTTTCAAAAAATAGAATTTAATTATCGAGATTTATTCTCGATAAAATAAAAATCGCAGCGTGTTTAAATGGAGTTTTGGAAGCTGGAGTTGTGGAGTTATGAGAGAAAGGGGGGAATCCCAAGAGTCCAATGATGTTCTGTTCTACATGCTCTTCTCAGACTTGTTCACATTTACGTCACAGTTGTTGTTGTAAAAGCTAAATTGTGATCGGAGAGTTTTGCCGTTCGGCAAACACGACGTCATCTATAACAGCATCTCTATCATCCTCTCCAGCCGTAAATAAAACCAAGAAATCCTCAAGAAAAACATTCTTCCTTTAATTATACCCATAATTAAACCGTTAGAACTTAGAAAAGGAGGATATTTTTTTAAAATATATTTTATTTTTTTCCTCCTCCTCCTCTTCCTCCTCGGCTATAGACAGCTTAACCGTTAATTAATGTTAGCTAATCAAGATTTAGCACATGGTCATTAATGGATACTTTTAATTAGAAGGATTTTCTTTTGTGTTAATATTTGACTTCATCGATTCTTTACTGTTAATAAGGTATAATTAACGACGTCTTTATGAGAATTTGAGACGAAAAGGGCGCTAAACAGAGACATCTGACGAGTGAAAAATGAGGAAAAATTTTTATTATTATTATATAATTTTTATTCATTGATATTTTAAACATCTGTTTCGAATTTTATAGAAAATGGCGTTAGCTCTCGATTGGAAACAAGATCTCGTTTCTTGATCGGTGACATTAATGAGCTTAAAACGGAAATGATCCCAGATTAATTATCTGTTAGTAAATTATTATCGTCACTTAACGGCCCTTTATGGTAACGAATCTGTCTCACCTTCCCTATAAAAATCCTTAATATTTACACTTTTCGCTCTATAAACTACTCCACTAAATATATTAAAGCTCGAATTTACGTAAATTTAATCTAATAAAAATTAAATCGCAACACTTTAATGGATAAATGTAAAAATATTCATGAACAAAGCGATTTTTCTATGAAATATTACACAGTAATTTTCTTCAATTTACTAATTTAAAACTTTATTTCTACGTTTTCTTATCGCGGATGCTTCAAAAACGTCATGGCAATAATATGAAATTAATTTGTTATGCCGGATTTATAGTGGAGGGTTGTCCTCTGAGTAATTCTCCATTCTATTGTGGTCCTCTCCAAAAAAAAAAAAGTATTGCCTCACTGCCCCTGCCGCAGTCATGGCGCACCTCTGTATAGTGGATAAAACCACTAACACTGGTAGTTTGGTCGCGGGTTTGCGCCCCACCAACACGTGGAGTTTAGTGTTTTCTTCACTTGTCTAACACCAGTTTCACATAGAAAATCCTCCCGTGAGGCATTCCCCTCCTTCAAGTGTCTAACACCTAAAATAGGGACCAGTGTCACACAGTCTTCTAGTGAGGAATTCCCTCTTTATCCATTCTTTTCCACGTGTTAATATTTTTTTAAGCTTTAATAAGTTTCTAATTTTTTCTGTTCGTTAATTCGAGGGATAACTGATATTCTGTTTATATAATTACTTACCTTTTTTTTACTGATTTAAGTTTGCCTAATTATTATTATTATTATTATTATTTAAGTATAAATGGAGATTATAATGTAAATGTATAAACCCATTACAATTTAAACTTGCTGTTAACTGAGAATAAAAGATTTTCTGCCACATTTTTATTTCTCAAAATTAAAAAAAAAAAAAATATTACATAAAAAATGTTGACAGAATTCTAAAGTTTTATACAAGGAATATTTTTATAAACAGTGGAAGAGAAATTCAATAAGAGCAAATATAGGATTTCAATAAAAATCAAATATAGGATATGTTTTGTAATGTATTAAAAAAATACTAAAAACACTGCATAAAATTTACATAAAAGTTTTAATATTTAAAAAGATTTATATACAGAGTTTTAAAAAATTTACAGCAAAGATTCTGTTTTATATAATATAAATAATAATGAAAAGATTTTTTATTTTACTTTAAATTTGAGTTTGTAAAAAGAATTTTTCTTTAATCTAACAGGAGATTATTACTGGCAGAAAATCTTGTTTGTAATGAATTCATTTTCAATATAAATGTTCATTTACATTAATTTTAAATGTAATTTTTAGATAGAATAATATTAAACTTGTCAGAAACACTTGTTATATCTTTATTGTAATCCATAAATAATAGAATGGTTGCATAATTAATTAAGATGGAGTCGAAGTTTGGAACGAATCGTAGATATTATTTTGTTAAAACTGATTGCCAATCGGTCCGTCTGCATAACAAATACCAATCTATAAAGCCGACGGAGGGGCGTTTCTCGCCCTTTGACTTCTGCATTCGCAATGTCGGGATATTAATATCTTTATTTGAGAAAGACCGGAATTAAGGTTAGAAATATTTTCCAAAGTTAAAATAAGTTTTACGAGACTGCAGACAGAATTATAATTGTTTTGATTAAACTGGAGAACTAGTTNTTTGATGAGATACAGAAATGCAACTCACAAGTTATCTGCCTCCTAGGAAGACTTTCTGTGGGAAACTGGCTGCTATTTAGGTGTTACACATGTTAGAAAACTCCATGTTGCTAGCCTATTGGTCAAGTACAGCACAATGGTCAAGTACAACACCAGTGCTTTTCATTTACATATATTTATTTCTACTAATTGATATCACCTTGATATCGCTCGACTGAACTCTAGAAACTTCATTCTAATTGTGGGCAATTTCTCCGATTATGACCTGAAAAAATTAAACAGAATTATAATTAATTTTTTAGAATTTCTTATACGGATGTGACGGATACAAGCGAGACAAAACTTTACCCTCTTGTCCACATATGCTGCACTTTCGTTTCTTTTTTACTTTTTCTGGAACTCGACTGTTTGACGACTTGTCGTTATTTTCTATAACATAAAACAATGTGTTAAAATGATAAAATACTAAATTTAATTAACATTTCTTTCCTTAAATATTTTATTATACGTTTAATAAAGAGCAATTTAATAAATATATTTACGTAAGAACGAATTGAGAGAGGTCTGACTCGACGGTTCTTCGGCCCACTGGAAAAAATTGCATCCGTTCTCTCTAGACTTTGAACACACGTAAAAATGCCTACCCTTATTTTGACCTTCTTTCTGGACGATTAACCTAAATTACACAACATGTTTATAAACAAATAAATATTATTATAAAATACTTTATAATCAACTTGCATTTTTGAATAAAAATAAATCAATAGAAAGTAAATTTTCATCGAAAGAGACTATTAATTTTAATGATAATATTGTAATTTCACCTGGGGATGTAATAAACAAACTTTAAGTTTGTTCAAAATTTGACGAAGTCGATATTTTGACAAGTTTTGCAGTTACGAGATTAAAGTAATTCTTGAAAATTCTTTCGGCTCGTAAATATTATAATATTTATAACAGCTTTTCTTGCATAATCGAAGAATAAATTAAACTTGTTAATAGTTTATTCAGTTTATTATAAACTCGATCAATCAAATTAGAATAAAAAGACTTGCAGACAAAGTTGAAGATAGTCTTAATATTTATATAATCATCTTTATAATTTATAATTATTACAATTATTTTAATTATAAGTAAGTCATATATTTAAAAGAAAAAATGAAAAGCTTAGTCGAAATTAAATAATTCCTGTATTCTTTTAATGTATTTTCAATTTATATCATCATTAACGTTGAACAGAATTTTCAACCTTCCGTGGAATTTATATAGATTTTAATTGTTTTATTTAACTCATATAATTATTATTTAATTTCTTAGCTTTATTTTATTATATTATAAAAATATTTATTTTCTAAAATAAATATAAAGAAGCGTATTATAAATAAATAGAATAAAATTATATTACATTATTATTCTTTATTCTATTCCAAAATTAAATTTACACTACATTTATTTTCACATAATTTCTATTTTTGTCACATTCAAAAATAAAATTCGATTAAACAAAATTATAAAATAGAAAAATAAGCCAGAGCATTCAGCCATTAAAATGATAAAAAGTGTCTTTTGGAATTTTTAAAATTGTGCGCCCCTTTTTTAAAATAAAAGAATGCAGAAATATTTTAAAATATTCTAAATTTTACTAAACAAAATTACTTTCTGCCCCCTTTTTTAGATTTGTTTTATTGAATATTCATATCTTTTGCATTAATAATATTTCTTAAAATTTCTATTTAATTTCTTTAAATTTAATTACTTTGTTGTCGTCACTACATTTTCAAATTTCACTTCTTTTTATTTAATGCCAATTTAACAACAGTAGTTACTTTTACCCCGAAATATTGTAACATCGCTGTTAAATTCTTTTCCAAATTCCCTGCATCGCTGTGGTATGTCTTAGGAACACGCATTAAAATAAAAAATGAAAAAATTATAATCTACAATAGAAATAATTATTCCAGCTATTACTTGATATGGTCAAATAATATAACAGTAAAATATTTTATCGCTCTAGAAATTAATTCAAACCAAAAAGCAATATAAATACATGGTGTCCACTTACACATCTGCCCAGGGGCAAAAGTGGTCTTTCCAGCATTACTCAAGCGTATGTGTGGTGCGTGCTTGTTTCGATGGTAAAATAATCAATACTTAAATATCTATCAGCATCAAAAGATTTATTCATTTAAAAAATGCCACGCTGATGATGATAAATGCATTCGGTAAAATAAAAGAAATCGTTTGACAAAAAGGACGCATCAGATTCTCCAGACTTAATTCCTGTGGATTTTTCCCTGTGAGATATCTAAAAGTATTGCTGTATGATGCGCACCCAGCAGTACCGTGTCTTGTTGGCAAACTAGAGAGGCTCGTGAAATGGTGATACTGATGGAATGCTACATGCCATCCATAATGACACATTCAACCATCTACGTCTCCCTATTTCCACTGAAGACAGTCATTTTGAACATGTTCTATAACAAAATAAAGCTAATGTTTTCATATCAATTTTTTTTATCCTTTACAGTCAGAGACCATTTATATGTTATGCTAGATCATCTTAGATTTCCTTTGGTTATTTTACCACCGGAACAAGCACGCATCATACGGATACATTTACACAATGCTAAACAGTATTTTGTCCTTGGATAAATGTTTAAATGGACATCCTATATAAGTATTTTTAACATTTCAATTAAGGTTTAGTTCAGTTTGATGAGATACAGAAATGCAACTCACAAGTTATCTGCCTCCTAGGAAGACTTTCTGTGGGAAACTGGCTGCTATTTAGGTGTTACACATGTTAGAAAACTCCATGTTGCTAGCCTATTGGTCAAGTACAGCACAATGGTCAAGTACAACACCAGTGCTCAATGGTGTTATACACTTTATAGGCACTGATAGGCATTTTGATTAAGATATCAGATAATAATACAGCATTTAACTATTGCTGCAATAAGACTATACATTATTTGACTTTTGTTGTATTGTGCATTTTTAAATGCAGAGAAACTCATTCCGATTTGCAATTATTATTATTTTCTTGTAATTTGGTCTGCAAGATTTCCAGATCTTATTTCTACTTTTTCTAGCTTCAGGATTATATTACAGAAATATAGTGGTACCTCAGGATACGAACTCCCCAGCATACAAAATTTTCAGGATACGACATGAAATTTGAACATATTTTTGTTCCACGATACGAACAAACACTCACCATACGACGTTACATTAGTTTGCAGCGCCATTTTTTATTCACTTCTGTTCATCGATCTCAGTACGTGTGTTTGCTTCGTCGTGGAAGGATCTCGCTCGATAAAGGAAATCTTGAGGTATTAACAGAAAGAGACTGATTTTATTGAAAAGAAACATCCCGAAAAGGTTCACACTGGTCATATTGCTGCTCGGAGTAATGACATTTTGTCTAAGTCATTTTAGAAACATTTTAAAAAGTAGGCAAAGCCAAACCTCTTTGGACAGATATTTTACCAAGCAACCTCTATCCAGTGAAAGTACTGGTGGAAGTGAAGGAAAGAAAGCAAAAAGTAGTGAATAAAAAAATATATATATATAAACATCCCAAAACATTATTTATATATATATATAAAGCAACACTAATTTTTTTATCTTCTCTAAGTTATTTTTAAGTTATTGTTACATTATGTTATGTAAATTAAGTTTTAGTATCATTTCCCTTCTCTCTCTCTTCCGCCACCAGTTTACACCTACACCGTTGTCTATCCTCAAAGATAAAGTGCAAATAAAACTACATTTTTTTTATCAATTATTATTCTATTATGGTTATTTATACATTTACAACTACAAAACGCATTTTTCAGTGTTTTCCTTACTATAGTTATTTTTTTTAATGTACTACTTAGCTTTAATTTGAGTGTGTTTTTCGTGTTGGAACGAATTATTTGGTTTTACATGTAATCGTATGGGGAAAAATTATTCACCTTACGACATATTCATGATACGATCTCAGTTTCGGAACGGATTAATTTCGTATCCTGAGGTACCACTGTAGTTGGAAATAAACATATTTCAAGTTTAAAAAAAATCTACAACAGGAAGTAGCTGTTCAAGCAGATATGCATAAAACCACTGTTTATAATATTGAATATTTGTTGATTGTTCAAGGGAAAAATGACAGACATGCAAAGTCAAATGAAACCTATATTTTGAGTAGATAAGTATATTTATGAATAATGAATAAATGCTGAATTTGTAAACATACTCTGTATTCATGTGTTTTTCCTTAAATGCTATGATGTTGAATTGAGTCCAAGTACAGTACATCAAATTAAGGTTGTCCAACAATGCATATTTAAAAATGAATGTAAAAGATATCTTTATAATTTTTATTGCATATTTTGCAATAAATATAAATATATGTATATAAATATCCCAAAGACCAATGTATTGAAACTAAGCCAAGCAATTGCCATAATTAATCAGGCCATTATTATGCTACAATTAATAATTAGAAACTTGAGGTAGACGTTATGCACCATCTATTATCTAAATTAATAATCATAATGATTTATTAAATAATTTAAAACATTCTGGAAAAAAAGAATGAGCCCAGATTTGAATCTGCAACCTCCACTTATTGTGCTTGCCAGTTATGCCATCTGGACCCCAAAGCAAACCTTCACTTCCAGATGTATTTAAATTTAGATATAACCAATTTTGATAAGAGATAGACAAACTTCTGTGTTATGGAGTATGTGCAGAAAAGATTCTGATATATCAAGTTTGGTTTGACCAACAATATAGATAAAGTGGCAAAAACTAATGTCAAAATTGCTAAGAAATTACGGACAAGAGTTTGGATTCCAGATATTTAACGGATGGAAAAATTCTTTTTTTTTAATATATGCTATAAACCATTTCTTGCTAAAAAAAAACAGTTTCAAGTGGTGAAATGTCCTTACATCAGCACAACATGAAATTTCAAAATAAAACCAAAACAACAATTAATCACAGGTAGATTCTAGTTGCAATGAAACTAACTGTAGTAGAGTTTATAATATCAGTAGGAACAAAATATTACTGTCAACTTCAACACTAAATCTATAATTAATTAATAACTTAGCAAAGAGCATTTACTCATTTCTCATCACTTATACAGGGTTATAAACAAAAATATACAACTAAAAGATGAGATAGGCTAGTTTCCATCATCCTCAAATATCTTATAAACAATTGTATACATAGAAGTAAATTCAATAGTGATTGATCAGATAGCTTAGAAAGTTATAAAATTTTATTAATTAAACATGTAATTTTATAATATTCATAATTGACTGAACATCTCCTACATGTAACCTTCCAATATGTGTTTTGTGACAATTTTTTAATCCCTTGTGCCACTTGTTGCCCCATGTTTATTCCCCCACCTAAAAAATGTGATGTAATAGACATTAGTAAGATTTTCTTGCAGATAGAAGTAAAATGTATGTAGCATTTCAACCTACAAATTTTAGTGTATATTACTAGAGTTTTTAATATGCAAAATGTATATTTCAGGCACTTTAACATGAATATATATATATATATGACATTTAAAAAAATATGTATGCATGTATAGTGCAATAATAAATGCATATAAAACTGGCCCTTATTTATGAAATTAAATTCTAATTGATAAAATTACAAACGTCTCAAAAT